TTTGAAGATTTACCGATATTGCATTTAAAACCGACTAACGAGGATACTTTGGCAAGGTTAATCAGCAAACTTCACACAGTATTCTTGCTACTGAAACAAAGCATTTAATTTGATTAAGTTATACCACGATAAAACATGAAGCAGTCCATTGGACATACTGCATCACAACAACTGCAATCTAATCATTGAACTAAGAGAATTAGATGAAGCCTTACACATCATGACAGAATAGCATCGCATAAACGCAGCCGGCGATTAGACCGAGTACTACCTTGACAGTGAACGTTCTATCATCCTACATGGCACGAGCAGATACCCTCGCATAAATGTGACAGGCGCTAAAAACGATCGAGCACCATCTTGACGCAGAAAGGTTTGTCTTGTGTAACCTGTCCAACTAGTGCGCATCCACAACTGATATTACTTCGAATCGGCAGACTTATCTACCACGAGTCATGCACATGTGCATCCGCGCGCAAATGAGAATGAATGTCCTGGCTCGCCTGTGCCACTGTACTGGCGCAATAGGCGATCTCAGAACTGCAACGCAGCTCCTGCGCGAGCCGCGATCTGTTACATATCATTGGCCCTGGCATCACTGGCAAAGAGCAGCCAGCGCATCCCACGGGTCCTGGCCGCGAGTCCAATACTCATACTGAGCTGAGCGCACCGCCAACGCAAATGCTCGGGATCCTGGCTTGAGCCCCCGGTTAACTCTCAGACGGGACTTGAGAAACTTCCAGCATGAATCAATAGATTGTGTGCCAGCTTTCCTCCAAACAGTTTTGCCGCGAATCTTATGCTTGGCGGTTTTCACGTACGCTGGTTTCAACCAAACATTTTTTATTGCTGTTGTAAACCCTGCGCTTCATATGAACAACCTGATCGCGGACCGTGCCTGGTATATTGACTTCGCGGTGGGCCCGCGCAGAAGCAGAATGGATCACGACGTGGCGGTCCTTGAAGTAGGCGCGAGATATGTCCCGCCATTGCTCCTTGGTGATTGGGCCAGGCCCAGGTGACCGCGCCAGAGTAGGGCCATTTGTAGACCTGGTAAGCAGGGGTGTTTTTGGATGACCACGTCTTACCATCCCAATCCAGTGTTCCCACACTTGAGCCTTGTCGCCTGGATGCCGAGGAGGCCGAAGGATCATCTTTCCGAAGCTTGCCTCGTCCACCTCGACGTCAGGCCACCCCGGCGGCGGCAGGGGCTTCGAATATCCAAAAGTCATGCCCCTCTCGATCTTTTGCACGCGAGCTTTCCGAGCCATCTGCAATAAGTATCGAGTTCGAGCAATCGGTTTCTCAGAGTGCCCAGTGAGCTGAGCAGTCGCCGCGACAGGGTTCGCGGCTGATAGACCGAGCAAGTTCATCAGCTGCTCCCGCGGGGTAGCAGAGCGCCGTCCACCGTGGAGTACGGGGCACTGGCTCCATGGCATCGCTCTGGATCGGCAGTCTTTTGCTGTGCACTTTTGTACGGGTTGTCGCCCGTCTGTTCGGCTCTGTTCGGGCCCGTGCAGGCCGACCCTGCACTTGCTGCACCTCAAGCCTTTTAGGTCTTGTGCAAACCCTAACTCTCGCATGAATGCCAGAACTTCGTCGTCCGACATCTTCGCAAGGTCGATGAGGTTATTCGATGCGCGGTGCCGCCCCTTCATCTTCTTCAGCTCAGCGGACTTCGACGCCGTGTGCGATGCACTCGTGCGCCCCGACTGCCTCTGGCCCCGCGAGCGAGCGGCTGGGTTTTTTCATGGCTTTCAAGACCCGCTTGCATCCATTGCCATCGCGGGCCTTGCCGCGTTTCGGAACAAAAGTACTCATCTGTAAAGCGCGGCGCCCTGCCTGACCTGTGAGCCGAAGCGGCCGCGGCGCAAGGTGCGGACGAGAAGGCTGCAACGACGACATGGCAGAGCAAGGCGCACTTCAGCGGAGCATGACGAAAGCATGCTGAAAACCCAAGATATTCCTCCAAGAGGCCCCTGAGATATCTGGGCCGCCTCCTGGGATGTCTCCAACCAACGCAGACGCGACTCCTACGCTAGGCCGCGCCAAGCAACCCAGAAAAAAAGGTGATCGAACAGCCTTTCACGAGAAAGATGACGCTGCGCCATGCCCCCATCAGCGTCGCGTTCTTCATCTGGCACAACCGCCTAGCAAACTCGCAGAGCTCAACTGGCGGTTCTCATTTTCACTCGGCCAGCGAATCCCCGCGGCCAAGACCGATCTGAACGCTGCAGTTCCGTTCTCTGCGGTCACGGTGAACACAGACGCACGCGCACTTGAAATGCCCGTCGAGGTCGCTCAAAACCCTGCATTGGTGACGCGACCCGCTGCGCCCCGCGCGCGGCTCCTGCGCGAGCCACGCAACGTCGCAGATTGAAGCCACGCAGTGCAATCTCACTTGCTGGGCCCCCTCACCACGCGCCGGTGCGCGCGCGCATCGGCCGGGGCATCGCCCACGAAACTACAAAAATGCAAACGCCCAGACCACTTCCTGACAGCGCCATCATCGAAGATCCATCCCGCCGTAGGGGCTGCACGAGACCGACCGCGTGCCCCATGGCAGAGCCCGCAGGGCGGTATGTTACCACATTGCTGCCAAGAGGCACGGCAACAGATGGATGGAATGGCGCGTGCTCTATACGATTGCTCAGGTGGGCGATCATTTGCTGAACCTGGCTGATGGAGAATGGGCCGTCTCTGCAGTGCTGCAGTGGAACGCCCAGACTCCGCAAAGCGCGGATCAGGCACACGTCGCGCCACGAGCGCTCCTTGGCGACACCAGTGGCAAACTCGAGCAGCAGGAAGCCAATGCCATGGGGCTCATCAACGTCAGCGTCATCGCAAGCCGTCAAAACAATTTCGGACTGGTGGGCGTCGCGCGCCGCCGCCCACAATTCCTTCTGCACCTCCAGCAGGTCGCTCGGATCGCCGCAGAAGCTAGGGCTTAGAAGGTCGATGTCTTCTCCGTTGTTGTCAGCTGCCGCCGAGCAGAGAAACTTCTGCAACTCGGCCATGTCCTCGGCGGCGTCGGTGCACGGGGCGCGCGTCGGCGTGGGCAAATCGCATCCCTCGGCCGACGACCTGGCACTCTCTCCAATAGGTCGTTCACTTGCCTCGGCCTTCACAGCGCGCTCCCTCCCCGCTACTCGGTAGTCGTCTCGGCTACCACAGGCTGCGCCGCCTGACTGGTCAAAGCGAAGCCTCGCTCTCTTAGTCGCAGTAACCTCTACCTTGGTGATGCGGTAGCCCAGGTCGGCGTACTGGCCATCAACGCCAGGCCGAATGACGGCTTCTCCCGGCGGGGTAGGGGCCGTGGGTCCTGGCGTCAATCGGCTGGACGCCTGGCGCCCCTGCAAGAACGAAGACGCGGAATCGTTGCAGCGGCTCGCGACCTCCGCCACGGGAACCCCCGAACAACTCGAAAATAAGCTGTCGATGATGGCGGACTCAGCCTGCTCGGCCTCGGCGTAGCCTTCGTATCGCTGACGAGCGCCACCCTTGAACAAGGCGTACTCTGCCTGGTGATCTGGCTTCGCCCAGTCTCCACCCTTCCGCAGGCGCGCGTCATCAAAACGATGGGCATCCATGTCCTCGTTCTCGCCTGGCAGACGGAGGTGGAAGCCATGCTGCCCAGCTATTAAGACAACGCGTCTCTTCAAGAAAGCCATCAGGAACTGCGGCTTCACAGGTCCAAAAGAGCGGCCGATCATATTGCGCAGCTCATCGAAGGTGATGCTCGCGCGGTCGCCCGCGGGTGGCTCCATGTCTTCGTCGAAGATGTTACTCAGGATCGCTCTGAACGAGCCCTTCTTGAACTTGGCAGGGCTGTGCCGGGTTCTGGTGACTAGCCCCGTCTCGCCAGCATTCAGAAACACCAGAGCCTCCTCGATGCCCAGGGACATCAAATCAGGATCGTCGCATATGTCGCCAAACTCGACCTCGCCTGCTCGGTTGCGGAACACCTCCAGGTGCTTTCCGACGCGGAACCCAGCTTGCTTAGCTTCGCGGTCGTGAGTGCGAATATTGAAACGCCCTTGCGCCATGGAGAGCGTTTCGGCCAGTGGCGTCTTTCCAAGACCTGGGTAACCTACCGAGAACAAGCCGTGGCTGGTCAACAGCGGCATGACAGCTGGCAGGATGGGGTTCTGGAGAACATCAACGTAATCAGAGATGAGCCAGGGGAACCAGCGTTCGCCATCAGCTGCATGCGTGGACTTCGACTTGTTATCGGCTGCCTGCTTTATGATAGTCTTTGGCCAACCTTTGAGTGGAGCATTCTCCAAGTGCGTATTCTTCAAAATCCATTCGAGCTGGTCGTTCCCACTGGTTTCGGGGCGCTCCGCCTCGATGAGCCGCAAGCCTTCTGTGATCTCCTCGGCCGTGGGCTGCCAACCCTTGTTCGCCTCGTCTCCAGTTTTGGCGCGCTTCGCACTCTGATCCTCGATCGCTGCCCAGAAGACAGCCTTCCCTGGTATGCGATCCTAAAGGCTCTGGACAGTCTTCTTGACCGACCACCGGCCTGGGCGAAATGCAGGGGCGTGGCCGCTCCCCGACAACAAGGTCTGCGCCATGGCAATCGAGTGCGGCATCTCACTGTTGAACTCGTACACCTTTAAGATACTTTTTGCACCATTGGGGCGGTCGCCGATGATGACCCCAACCTTCACGTACGCTGGTAGAGGAGACCGCGGCGCAACAGACTGAGGCAAAGCATCAAGCTGCTGGCTCTTCACGATCTCCACAAGGTCGACATCACCCAATGACGCTGCTGGGGCGAGGTTATGGTCAAACAGGAGGCGCGTGTTCTTGACGCTTGCGACATCACGCGTAGCGGCCTGCAGGAACTGCTCCACGGAAATAGGATCAGATATGCTGTGTTCCTCGCCCGCGGCGCTGTCCCTCACGCGAGGCTCCTCCAATGACTGCAACCGCCACTGGGTTCCGAGTCCATAGTACCTGAAATCATCATCAAAGATTTTCTCTGTTGCGGCGTCCATGGCCCGAGAAAAGTCTGCAAGTTTGAGCCCGAAGCGTTCTACGGAACATAAAACTGCCAGCAGCATTCCGCGTGGCATCGAAATTGTAGGTTCCAGTCTGACACGCATTTCAACGCGGCAACTATTTGCCATTCAGGAATGTCAAGGTTCCCGGGGAGAAGCAATTCAAAGGAACACCTCGGCGTCCTGTAAATGATACAATTCAAATGCTTAAGCACGCGCTGCTGAGCTCGACGAACCTCTGCAGAATATTGAAATTAACAATGACGGAGAGAAGCGAAGTAAATATTGAAGTTTTCAGCTTCAAGGGTTTGCAGGCTCATAGATTCGCAGAGCCGCAATTCAGGGCTTCGGCGATTTGCATACTTGAGGATTCGAAGATTTGAAGATTCGAATATGTGAAGATTTTGAGATTTAGAGGTTTGAAGAATTGAAGATTTGAAGATGGGAAAAGTCGAGGATGGGAGAATTTGAAGATTTGAAGATTTGAAGATTTGAAGTTCTGAAGATTTGAAGATTGAAGAATTGAAGATCCGATGATTTGAAGATTTGAAGGTTTGAAGACTTGAGGATTTGAAGATTTGAAGGTTTTAAGATTTGAAGAATCTTCAAATCTTCAGATCTTCAGATCTTCAAATCTTCAATTCTTCAAATCTTCAAATCTTCAAATCTCCAAATCTTCAAATCTTCAAATTCTCAAATTTTTGAATCTGCGGATCTTCAAATCTTCAAGTCTTCAAATCTTCAAGTCTTCAAATCTTCAAATCTTCAAATCTTAAAATCTTCAAGCCTTCGGGTTTTGCTCCATAACCTTCAAATCTTCAAACCTTCAAACCTTAAAACCTTCGGATTTCGAACATAGGAAGAGGGGGACCATAGAGGGGGGCCGCATATATATATATATATATATATATATATATATATATATATATCTTATCTATATTTATATATACACATATTCATATATGCTTATGTGGTGATTCCAGGTTCTCCATTATTCCGAATCGTGGGGAATCTGGAGTAACTGCAGAACAATGTGCGTTGCTGTGGTTCCAGATTTCCCATAATGCCGAATTTTGGGCAACCTGGAATCACAGCGAAAAAAAGTACGCTTTTATGGTGATTCCAAGTCTCCCATAGTTCCAAATTTTGGGAAACCTTGAATCACCCCAAGAAAGGACATGTTTTTGAAGTGATTCCAAGCTTCCCATACATAAGAATTGTGGGAAACCTAGAATCACTACAAACAAAGTTTCTGCGATGATTCCAGGTTTTCCACAATTCCGAATTATGGGGGCCCTGGAATCACCACCCCAAAGGTTGTATGTTTTGTGATCCCCGTGCGCTGGCCTGCAGTTCACGATTTTCACCTTGTGGGTGCCTGCGGCCGCCTCGGCCCCGCGGGCCAGCCTGCTGTTCCGGGTCCTCGCCCGGCGGGTGCCCCAGGCACCGTCTCCCCTTCCAGAGGTCCCCGAGCTTTCTCTATCGTTTTCTCGCTATTTCTCTCGATGTCCTCCTTAACCTCTTCCTCTTTCTCTCGCTCTCTCTTTCTCCCTCTCCCTTTCTTCTATTCAGATTTATGTATTTATCTTGGTATATCTCTTGATCTCTTCCTCTTTCCTTCTTTCTCTCTCTCATTCTCTCATTCTCTCATTCTCTCATTCTCTCATTCTCTCTCTCTCTCTCTCTCTCTCTCTCTTCCTCTCCCTCTATCTTCGTACCTTTCCTCATCAATCCTTTCTTTCACCCCCTCGCTCTTCTTTTTGTCCCCAGCCATCTCCGTCTCTGCAAAGAGGGAGACAGACAGAAGTTGCAGCCCCTCCTCTTCAGCTCTGCTTTCTTGGTTTCGTTGAGATGCGAGCGCAACGCGCCCGGCAAATTATTAATCAAGATGGCCGCATCGTCCAGCATCTTTCTTTATATTGGTGTTATCATTGACCTCTTCTTGTCAATATTTCTCCCTCTAGCTCTCTCTCTCTCTTCGCCCCCTTCCTCTTCCTCCTTCCTTTCCCTCCTTCCTTCTCTTCTATATTTTCCCAGCCATATCCGTCCCTGCAGTATTTTTTCATCGTCTGATATCGATTGTTGTGTGATTTTGAGTTGCTGTCGATTCTACCCTTGGCCGGCGTGCTTTAGCGGCGACTGCCGCGGGGGGCCTGCCGTGCGGGGGCGAGAAACATTGCGAGAAGCTTCGTGCTCAATCGAATTGAACCAACATCTCATCCCCCAAACAGTATCACAACAAAGCCAACACAACCAATAAAACATAACAACACACACAGACCCCGACAGGCGAACAAGGAACACTTGGCCACCAAGAGGGCGAACAACTTCTTGACAAAAAAAAAACAGAGATCAGAAAGGTCATGACGAAGGCTGCGCGGGCCGCTGTCGCCCCACGCAAAAGGCGGAGCAAGCGATGACCCTGGGGGGAATTAAACAAACCACGCCACTTCCCAGCCGTTGCAATGATGTTTGCCAGTCGGAAGCATCATTGCATAAACACAACATCGGTCAACGCACGCAACACGTCATTATTGCGCCCCCCCAGCCTGCCCCCCAGGAGGCGCAGCAACGCGCGCTACAGGAACCTCTGCGCCCAGAAGGCCAGGGGTAACGCTTCGCAGACGGCGTGCAACGAGCTACGCAAGAAGGACGAGGCCGTGCTCCTCTCCACAATTACTATTGCCTTGAACTGCAATTAACTTCCTTTTGAGCAACACGAACGAACAACACTGTTACCACGACCGCATCAGGCGACGAAGAAGCAGCTTGCCACAAACCACGCCGAGCGCGGCGCCTGGGTGAAAGGCTCTTGCTCCTCGTCCAAGGGGCTTCGCTCTTGGAGGGCGAAGAACGGCGTGGCCTGAGCAGCTTTGCCAGCGCTGCGCCCACTTCGGCACCCTGGCGCACAGATTTTCTGGAGCAGCCAGAGGGATGTGCGCTTTTAAAAGGAAAAACGCATGCGTGCTTTAGCAGTGCCAGCGTTTGCAAAACTTGAACGCCCCTTAACCGGCTAGCGTCGTCCTAGTGCAGAAGAAAGCGTTTCAAGACATTAATGCCCTCTCAAGGAATAAGAGGGCGCGCGAAAAAATTGATGCCCCCAGGAGTTAATCGCCCGCGCGGTTTTACACGACGGCCCTCCCAGGCTCGTTTGACACGACGGTTCTCCGCGGGTGGGGGTGGGGGGCGTGATATCAAGGTGTGCGTTGTTATGCGTGTATGCATGTATGCATTGATATATATATATATATATACACCAAATGTTATACATATTTGTTTGTATAGAATGTCAGAAATCATGTTCCTAGCATCTGGGCCGCTGGTTCTGATTCCGAGCTTTGTTTTGTCTGGGGGCCTCGCGCGTCTCCCGGGGGCCGCCGCCGCGAGGCGCCGCCTCTACGAGGGAAGCTCAAATGCCGCCGCTGCGAGGCGCCGCCGCTGCGAGAGGAATCCTCCCGATGCGTGCGCAGCGCGCTGTTTTGGCGCTCGAAGATATCCGCGGTTCAACCGTCTGTTTTGGCCAGGTTTTTGGAGGCCAATCCACATATTTATAACAAGCTGCATGACCTATCCCGATTTATCTTTCTCATTTCCCTCCCAACGCCATTCGCGCTCGAGCGAAGTTGCGACGCCTTCAGCTTTCCCTTTGCCGTCGCTAGGCCAGGATCTAATCGGGGGCGCATCTTTTCTGTTACTTCTCGCGCCATGGCCGCTGCGCCACCGAGATAACGCGGATCGCTGATCGCTTGGATTTGCTAGTATTCATCCGAACAGCCTGGCGGGCTTCCTGGGCCTTGATGATATTTCTCTCGCGAAGAAAATGCAAGAGCTTGGGTCTCTTGAGGGGATGACCGAAGCGCGGAGAGACGTTGGACACCCTGCAACATTACCGCGGGATTCTGTTTTACAGATGTCCAAAGTGTCGGGGGAACTCCAGTTATGCGTCGGCGATGAAAGGATACATGTTGGAAACCGCGGGAGGAGGGCATGCCAGTATCAACATGGAGCAGCTTGTTGGTTTAGCCGCGCGCGCTTCCGAAGGCATTTCGGCTGCGCAGGCTGCGCAGCTATGCGGTGTTCAACTTAATTAATGCGGTTTTCAGGTGGTTTAAAGTGCTACGTGGGATTGTAGCAAAGAGAATGGTGGAGATGCAGAAAGGCTTCGGGGAACAGGGCGGCAAAGATATCATCCTGGGGTCAACCGAGCATTTGTTTCCAGCGGGTGCATCGATCCTCTTGCTGCAGAAGGTTGCGCCCCGAACTTTTCGCGCGCCCGCGCCGTCGCGCCGCTGGCCAGGGGTTCGAGAAAGTTCATGATTAAAGAAGCTGCCGGAGAGGAAGCAAACGCGCATGTTGAAAGGGCAGCAGAATACTATGAGTGGCGGCGCAATCCACTTCAAGGGGAAAAAAGCTCGTACCTACAGGCCCGCCTGCGTTATCTTTGACAGAAGGTAAGACACTTCTTACCAAACGTGTCAAGTCTGGCGCGTTGTCATCAGATTCTGCTGCAACGTGCGATCCTGGGTGAACAAACGGGAGGTTTTTGGCAATCGCGCGAGGGACATCTGTCGTTCATGGGCAGGGGGGGCATGTTAAGCTTTCCAAGGTTAACAACGCGAATATCCGGGGTGCCACTCAGTATATTGATGTTTTTTTTTTGAGGGGGGATTCTGAGCAATGGGCCGGGCCGATGCGCATTCGCAGGAAGGACGTGATGACGTGCGCGAGAGAATTCCAGGTTTGATCTTGCACTTAAGCGGATGATCGTTGGGTCTCGTTTGGCAAAGCGCGCAAATAATCCAAGTGGCGCATGTTGATTACTTGGCATGTGGCGCGCACATCTTTCGCATAACTTTATACATTGCCGCCGTTTGTTTATCTATCGAGCGCGATTTCGCGCCAGCGCGCGTCTTCCAGTCGCGCGCCATTGTGCTGAGAAGCATTGTTTGTTTAGTTGCTTGTTGGTGTTGCCGTTGATTATATATATATATATACAT